AGCACCCTCTTCAGTGGATTTCTCCAGGAATAAATACATTGTGCTCAGCTTTAACCACAGGATGGTTTTTAAACTCAAGAGCTCCCACTCTGCCAAACTGCTCTGGCTTCACAGCTGGACGGCAGCTGGGACGATGGAGACAGAGGAGTCAGGAACAAGCAGAGCGGCTTGACGGGCGTTGCAAATACAGCCCTTGCTCAGCACAAACACGGACCCGTCGCGGCTGCAGCCACGTCAGGCTCGGGGGCTGCAAACAAGGAGCCCTCCGTGCTGCAAGCAGCAGCTAAGAACAGCCGAGACTTCTCTGCTGCATTAGCCAAGCCAGCCCCCTCTGATCCTAGCGATCAGCTTGAAAACCTAACACGGTGAGAGCACCGAGGAAATGTAATTGCTATAGTGTGTTCCAGTATATCAGAATATTTGGAAAACTCAGATTTTATGGAAAAATTCTTGACAGATCACATTATTTTACTTATTTCCAAACCTCTTTCTATTTTGAACTTGCAATTTTAAAGACCAAAAAGCAAGAAAACAGATGTCATTAAAAGTGTAATTACATTAGCTGCACCTCAAAACATTATGATTCAAGTCTAATTGGACAAACCAGTCCCCATTCGCAGTTTGATAACATAAAAACAGACTAAGGTTAACAGCAGAGCTAGGGGCACTGCAGCACACCAATTACTGCAAAAGCATGCTCCATTTTTTAACCAATTAATTTCACAGTGCTGAAAACTAAACCTTTCAAAATTCTGCAACTCCTATCAATTCTCGACCATTAAAATTTTTAAATGAACCAGGCCTGTCATCAGCTTTCTTCCATAGGATATTCTTACCACTTCCAGCTTGCCCTAAATATTGGGTCATTTCAACAGATTCAAAATAAGGCTGAATTCACTCTATGTGGAAGTTAGAATAGAATCTTGACTCTAGAAACACTAGTGTTGTGCAATGTATGGGTAGACCAACACAACACAACTGCAAATCTGGACAATGAATAACTTTCACCACTGAAAAAAATGCTGTTAGGGCGGGAATAACTATAAAATAACCTGTTGCCAAACAAGGAGTTTGGTAGTACTGTGTGAATTCCAAAGATATTTCATGAGTTCTCAATTTTATTGGCAAAAAGCTGTAAGAATTAGAACAAAAATGAAAATCACATCAGCAAACAACTTTAACAAAAATCCATTTAAATTATAACATCCCAAATGAGACTGGTAATGAATGAATTTACTGAACTTTTAATGCAACTATTCTAGGGATATAGTTTCAGCTATTTTTGAACAGACATTGTCAGTGCTTATGTATATTTAAGCTATACTTCTTTATAGTCAATTAAAACATTTCAGGTTACAAGTGAAATAAGGCCACTTATAAACTGAAAGATGAGATCTTCTATCAGCAGATTTCATGGTCAACGTTAGAATTGCTACTGCAGCACATTCAGGTTATCTGCTGCTTTCTGGACTTAATATGATATTTGCTGTTGTTGCAGTAAATCACTCTTGTGGAGCAGCCCTTTAAGTGGCTCTTAAAATCCACTGTGAGAGTGTTCTGCTAGTCAAGCACTACCAGATCCTTCCCTTCATTTCACAGGGCAACAATTCGCATATTGGTTCATGGGAGTTCAACAAGGCTGGTCCTAATCAAGGGAGGAAACGTTAAAAAGCTCTCAAGGATGAAGGAAACAAAAAACTGGAAAAGCAGGAGCAGAGAACAAAGAACACGGCACCTGTGGTATTCACAAAACTGTGGACAGAGTCATTGAGGCAGAATGAAAAATAGTAGTAAATACTCTGCAACTTAGAGAAAACTGAAGTACTGTTTCACTAATCTGAACTGAAGCAACATTGACAAACATCACCCTTAAAAGACTTCTCCACCTGTCTGAAAGAGTCATGTGGGCTAAAGTGGCAGACAATATTGATCCTGAAGTTGGCAGATTGCCCAATGAAGGAATAAAACAAACAGAAATAGGAAAGACAATGGGTCTAATGCAGTGCAAATAAAACATTTGAAAAAAGAAAAAGAAAAGAAGAATCAAAACAAAAATAAATTTCACGGTGCAATTCCAAACAGAAAAGCATGAAGGGATATGTACAGAGAATAAAAATCCAGGAGAAGATAAAGCAGCAATGGAAGAGAAATATCACAACAGGTAATAAATAAATAAAACACTATTTTTTGCAGGCACAATGAATTGATTATTTTTAAAACAGCCATAGCTTTAATTACGCTTGGTTCCCAAAGTGCTTCAATTCTTTCTTCTGACAATGGCTATTTCAGTGCTGAATAAGAGTCATTGCATCACTTAGGGGTCTGCATCTTCATTTCTAGCAAGCGAAAAACAAATTTATTTTGTGAACCACTCAGATTTCTAAAAATAACAAACATGCCATATTCTGTTTCTTGAGATATATAAGAACCTGTGCACATAAATCCAAGTGGTCATACTGGAACACAAATTAATAATAGCACCAATATAAAGATTTCTCTTATTGCTGAATTAATCAGTGTTAATAAACTAGGACATAAATATTTTTGTCAGGACTGGTTAGCAATCATTAACATTGATGAGATGCTACAAATTATATTTCTAAAACATTTAGAGCAGACCCCCTCTCAATGATACACACGACTTTCAGTTATACCACCAGTCAAATAGCTCATATCCAATATCTAGTGGGAATGTAGAATATTTGCATAACAGTCTCAGACTCCTTTTAGTGGTTCAAATCAAATATCATTTAAAGAATAAATTGTTTACAATTACGCAATCAAATCTTTAAACAGTGAAATTAAAAAGTTTTAGTACTACAGAGATTAAAAGTTAGACACAAAAATGTAAAAGTTTGGGAAGCCTTTTAAAATGGAGTTTCTGTTGAGGGCACAATATAAACAATGATTTGCATCAGTGATTTTCTTAATTAAGCTGCTGTTTACATACAAAATGTTGATGTACTTCAAATGCTGCTTGGTGTCATTAGACCGTTCCTTTAATTGTGCAAAGCTTTAGATCGAGTCACTTATCCCACTTTGGATAGGCTGGGAACAGCATCTCAGCTGCAAGAAGCAAATCCAGAGCAAATTTAATCACAGAAAGCTTTAATTTGAAGCACGGTCCAGCCCGCGCTGCCCCAGAGCGGCTGCTCTCCGGGGCGTGCAGCCTTCCCGGCACTCCTGGCCCGGCAGCACGTTGGATAGAAACGGACCGTGACCTGGCCCGGTCACGAGAAGGGGCATGTGCCACCTCTGCTCCAAGCGATGCTCTGCACATGTTAAGGACAACCAAAGTACATCCCTCCCCCCTCTCCCCGCCTGCTTTTACATTAGATGTCTCACTCAAAGTGGAAACTCCCTCATGATGATATAATGACCATCTGGCTAATCTCGTACTGAAGGTCCTCACTAGATCATAAATTCAGCTCAAGAGACCTACAATAGCTGACAAAACGTAAACTGGAGAAAAACCACCACTATAATTCTGAAAATAGCGGTAACAGATATTCAGAACAGAAATCAAGTTTCTTGGCCATCACTAGCCTCTTCACTCAGTCAATAGTAATGACAAAAGCAGTAGGGTTTCTTCTGTTCTCTGCATTACAAGGCCTTCCCTCATCTCTAAAACTGCAGAAATTTCCTCTATTAAACAGTGATACAAAACCCTAACATCTATTTCACTTTATATTTAAACATGCAGAAAATATTAAACAGAAGCCTCAGTATTGAAGTGACCCAGACTAATTCCATAAACAAAGACAAGATCAGTACATACTGCAGAACAATAACCACTAGATACATTTAAATATGTTCACTTGAACCTGTTTTGCTCCAGATTTCCAATGAGTAATTATTGGCATGGCCAAGATAATTGTCAGTGATTAGTAGGTGTAAAGAATGAAAGGTTGGAAAACAAAAAGATAAGTACAGCATAATAATCTGCACTGCTGTGATGCAGCACAACTTACATTTCAATGTTACGTATCACATGAAAAGAAGGGATATTAAAAAAAAAAACTATAAAGATGAAGAAAAATTAAGCTACCAAATATTTCTGAGCTATTAATCCTTCCTGATAATGAAGTGCTTTGGGATGACTTCTAAAACTCACTTTCATTTAGATGCTTCATTTATTTTAATCTGGTAGATAATTAGAGGGAAATCGAATCTGCCCCCACAGCAGAATATTTACCTGAGATACAGCTCGAATGTCTCAGCTTTTCCCCTGTGTATTCAGTGTTATTGTTAAGTTTCATCTAAAACTTAGCATCAAAAATAAAGTCTGCAATGTTAACTGCCTGGTTAGTTGTCAAAAAAAAATCTGAAAGAGTTACTCTTCTACATTAATATGACAGTTGGAATTGGAATAGCAAAAGTATTACAATGGTTGGATGTACAACTCTTCAGTTTTCTGTAATCAGGCAGTTACTTAGTTACTACATTTGTACTGCAAACATAAAGATGCACTTCTCTAATTATGGTAGGAGCCTTTGGACAAGGAATGTTGAAGCACATGTTACAACTAATGGAAATCCTCTGAAATCCCCTGAAACATCATGTAATTGGAGTTCCAGCAAGATTATTCTTTAGGAAACTTTTCAGTTGAAGACTTAACTCCAAAGAGAGGCATACCTGCATAAGCCCAAGGAAAAGTATTTGGAAATAGAAAGGGTAAATCTGAGCTGAATGGAAGGTAGTTGTCACATCTGAGCTCTTATGTATCAGTACAGAAAAGTAAAGAACCAGTGTAAAAAAAAAAAAAAAAAAAAAAAACACAACTATATAAACATAAATGTAACAGTTATGATTACTGATCATCTTATGATGATGTGAAAATACTCAGTAACAAGATGCTAACTAAACAAGATCACCTTGGAAAAAAAAAAAAAAAAAAGCAAGCTGTGCCACTGACCAATCCTTGCTGTGAAGCCCAATGGTTTATCTTCTCACTGACTAATCAAAAAAGAAAAGAGGAAAAAAAAAGTCAATACACTTACTGGACATCTTTTTTCTTTTGTTTCTGAGGGTCCACTAGACGAAGGGTATCTCTGATAACAGCTACTTTCACTTCTTCATCTACAGGGCTTGGGACATTTTCAAACACCCCAGGAGACAGCTTTAAGTTATCAAAGAATACAATTATTCAGGGTAGAAATGATTATTTATTCTACATCTTCTCAAACGTTATTCATACCCTGTATATTTTAATTACATAATGACAGATTGCAGAATACTTCTTAAAGAATAAGTAGATACTGTAACATTTTCAATATGATATTACATTGATTTTGGTCTTTGCTAAATTGCAATTTAAAAAAAAAAGTTACTACTGTTACCATTATGTATACAAACATGAAAAAAATTACTACCACTGCCGAAATACAGTTAAGTCAACTGCAGGGAACAATGAATAAACGTATTTATGGCAAAGAAGATGGAGAGCTTTCAAAAGTCCAATAAGTCATATTTCAAGGGCATAAGATTAGCAATGATTTCAAAGCAGAAAACTGCAGAGAACCTTGGATATTGTATATTAGCAGACAGCTTTCATCTTTCAAAAAAGGAAGGAGACCAGAAAAAGCAACCCTAAACAATTTCATTCCAATATCATTGTTATTTGAAAGGTCTTACCTCTTTTTCATGTTCTATTCTCATGCTGGGGTTTGCATTTACTTCAAGTAACATAGGCTTCAAGTTTTTCATCAGGAGAATGTCAAACCCTAAAATCTGTGCATAGGAAGCAATATGTTACTTTTATTCTACTTATACTACTATTACTTTAGAGAGCATAACTTTTCTGCTTTCCTTTCCAACA